CTTCAACAACATCAGACTCCACAGTCTCTCCATCTCCTACACTGCGAAGGTACTTCCTGGGGTTATTCTTCTTTATGGCAGTCTGGTGTACAAATACATCTTCCTTGGTGTCATTCCTGTTGATGAAACCATATCCGTTTCTTACATTGAACCATTTTACTGTTCCCAAAACCTTCGTTGCGATGACCTTCTTGTCCCCGCCGGCAGGCGCCGCTGATGTGAGGCCACCTGGGCCACAGCTGCCGGTGGTGCCGGGCTTGGTGTTGGCAGCGCTGAGGGTGGGGGCAGCGGGCGGCTGCTGGGTTTCGGCCTCGCTGCTCATGGTTGCGGTGATGGTGACTGGGGCCGGCTGTGGCAGCTGCGGCTCCTCCCGGGGTGTGATGGTAACTAGGCCGGCGGCGGCGGTGGGGCTGCTCAGGGCTCTCTGGGGTCCGCTCTCCGCTCCCGCTACCGATCGAACTAGCGAGAATGGCGGGACGGGCGGGATATGCCCTGCGATCGACCCGCCCCAAGCATCGTTCACTGGCCAGGAGTGCTGTCACTCTGGCCACCTGACCCCAATTCCTGGCTTGTATTGGCTAATACTTCATTACTCCTCCACGTTCATTGGCTCTTAGGCGGCTAATTCGGCCGACCTACAACCGTTCCTGCCTCCGCCGCCGCCATAGAGACCGGAACTAGAATTAGAGTCACCACGAGAACCATAGAGTACCCGAGAGGACGGGCAGAGGGAACTTGACTTTCACGAGGCTGTAGCATGGGCGGGCGGGCTGGCTACACATCCGCGGTTGTGTCCTGGTCTTCAGAAAGGCACGGCCAAACGCCTGCGCCGGGATTACCCGGTCATCGAAGGGCCTGCAAGGGTGCTCGTCGATACCTTAGCCCCAGGTAGAGAGACCTCCCACCCTCCCTGCTCGGAATACGGTCCTGTGACCTCAGACCATTACTGCGAACAGAGCCGTCTTCTACAATGGCCGTGTACTCGCGGCACAGCCGAGGGGTTCTGAAACAGACGTAAATACATGCATTCAAGGAGTGTCCGCTTTTGGCGGAGCAATCACCTTGGAGGGACCACGCAGGCTCTCATGCGGTCCCTGCTCGGCATATTTAGGGCGGAGGGCGGGGGGTATATTCCAGGAGTACCTGCTCTCCCATCCACCTTCCCAAAAGGCACTTAAGGACCGTCTTGTTAAGTATTCACGTGTTTTTGTGTTGGCCACAAATCAGATTTAATTTCAAGTCACGTTTATTGCGCAAACTAGGAATTTTTCTTGCATTTTATTCTTAAACCAGCCACGTGAAATAGGGGTTATAATTGAGGTTGCCACATGCTCTAGCTGAAATCCTCCACGTTCATTCCTTATTAAGCGTCTATGATCTTCTGGGGATGGACTAGTTCGCCAGTTTCTGCCTCTTAAATTCAGTCTAGGGATGAAGGTAGAAATTTAAACACTCCAGTGCTGCAAAAGCACAAAACATTGTGGGAGTGAAGTGGAGAAGGTGGAATGCTGATTCCAAGCGCATGGAGGTTTCTGTAAGGCCTACAGGCAAGAAAAGATGGGTCTGAGAAAATGCAAGTAAAGTTGTCCAATAAAACTAGAATGAAGACATTGGGTTATAGAGGTAGGCAGGGTCAAATTAGGGATATTTTATTGGAAATTTATCCTACGAGCAATAGTGACGGGTAATTTAGAGTTGTAAGTAGGGAGTGACATAATTTCTTTTTCTTTTTTTTTAATGGCTGCTGAGTGGAGAATGGGTTGTACGAGAGCAGAAATGGAAGTAGGGAAAACAGGCCGGTGCAGTCCCTACCCATAAGTATCATCTAGGCCTGTCAATTCCACTTTCTAAAAGCCTCCCTGAATCAGTCCTAAGAATCTTTGATGTCTTCATTTCTACTGCTACTTCTCTATTGTAGGCCATCGTCACCTATTGCTTAGAACAGAAGTAGGCAAACTTTTTCTGTAAGGGCCGGATAATAAATATTTTAAGCTTTGCAGGCCAGACAATCCACTCTCAGCTACTCAACTTTAGAGCCTGAAAGTAGCCTTAGCCAATCAGTAAACAAAAATCTATGATAAAAAAAACTTTATTTATGGACATTATAATTTGAATGTCATATAATTTTTACAATGCAAAATATTCTTTAGATTTTATCAACTACTTAAACATTTAAAAACCAGTCTTATCTCCATTGAAAAATAGGGAGTGACCCTCTCCCTTCCTCTCTGAAATCAATAAAATATATTTAAAAAAGGAAAAATAGTCAGATGGCCTGCCCACTAGCATAGAGCACTGCTGTGGCCTTCTGTCTTTCTTACTCTAATATTCCCCACCACAACACCCAGACTGAGTTTTAGAAAATATCTATTTGATTATGACATTGTCTTATTTGAAATCTATCAGAATTCCTTAATATGATTTATAGGACCGCCTATGACTTCTCTAAATTTGCCTCCCACTCTTTCACATTCCTTGTCCAACCTTCCAAGTGATCATTTAGCCATTGCTTCCTTTGGATTATCACTTATTTCCCTCTACTTGTAACACTCTGCCTTTCTCCCTTTTCCTTTGCCTGCTTAACTGTTCATCCTTTAAGACTTGTCTCAGATGTCACTAGTTTAAGAGACCCTCCTATCCTAACACTATATTATACTAATCTTCCCAGCCAGACTATGAATTCCTTCAGCATCTAGCATAATACCTGAGACACAGTATCTTAATAAATTTGTTAAATGAATGAGATAGTGTAGAAAATGGATTGGAGAATGAGGTACTGGCAGCAGAGAGGTCATCTGGGCAGCTGTGCCAATATTCCAGATGAAAAAGGCTTGCAGCAACAATGTGTATGGAGAGAAGTAGGTGGATTCTAGAGTTGCTATTTCTCTATTTCAGCTCTAGATGACCTTTGACTGCTAAAAAAAAAAAAAAATGTTTCCTCCAAAGGCAATCTGCCAACACTGAGAACATTTAAAGGTGTGCCCTATAGGCTTGAGAGTTTTCCCAAAGTGGAGTTACAAAGACAGAACAATGGCAGCAGCACCTCTGAGAATAAGTGAACAACCTTCCCTATGTAACAGGTTTGAAGAGATGGCTTCTCTAGCAGAAATCCAAATTCTGTAACATTTGCCTTTAAAATGTTACTTAACAGTATCATTACATACTCATCCAATCACTTCACTAAGCTCTCTCATGATCAGTGGACATAAAGATGTGCTATTTCCTACTAGTTTTCTTGTAGCCACCTCTTCACCACTGCATAAGTGGCTCCGAAGCACTGGATGACATACCATTGATGCCAAAATGCATCTCCTATTCCTAGGTGGGAGTTCTCCACTCTAGAGTTCTGCTAGACCCCCTCCCACCCTGAGAGTTCACACTGCCCAACATAGTGATCACAGTTCAGACAACTCCAATGCCTACCTTTAAGTGATGTGAAAGGCAAGAAAAGGGGTTCATTCCAAGAATCTCCTTTGCAAAATAACTTTCATCTTGTCCCCCATCTCTTACAGACTCTGGCCCAAGGATACAGTTCCCTCTTCCTGGAAAGCCCTCTCCACCCTCATCTCTTAGCTAATTCCAATCTGTCAATACTTACCTCAAATGTTATCTCTTTCTCTCACCCCCAGTCTCTCCACTCCGCTCCCATAGCATCTGGTACAGACCATTATCATTCATGCAACAAATGTTTATTGAGCACTTACTAGGTACTAGGGGCTGGGGGACACAGCAGTAAACAAAACAAGTATTGACCAAATTTCCTGCCCTCATAAGGGGTCACATTCTAATACCACATGTATCAAAACTGTGCCTATCTCCTGTCACAAGCATGGGACACATCTTACACATCATTGCAGCTCCAGTGCCCAGGGCAGATTGGCATAGAATGCAGGTGCCAAGTATAACTGACAGTTACCTGAATGACCCATCACAAGAATATCAGCTCAGGATCCCAGCTGATCATTCTCCTTCCTTTCTCTTTATAATCCACCCTGTATAGTCACGTGATCAGTTCTTTCTTCATTATGTCCCCTGAACACTATTTATTTAGCTGTAGAGTTGTAGATATCTATACTCTAGCTTCCTTGTCCTGCCAATACGCTGAAATGGCACTTTTGACCAGGTTCTATTGTCATAGAGTTCAGCTCTCTGTTCTTATGAGTCATCCTATCTGAGTCAGGAGAAAGGAGAAACGGGAGAACATAGACATTGCCTCATGAAATGAACATCAGGGAACTCTTTATCTCTTGAACATTATACTGTGGGAACTTTTTATATTGGGTTGTTTCCTTTTAAAACTAACATTTGCAAGGCATGTTGTGTTTACAAGCTACCTTCATATCCACTCTCTTACTTGACCCTTTCAACAATGCTATGAAGTAGATAGGTATTATTATCCCCATTTTATAGCGATAATAATACTTCTCAAGACTGGAACTGTTTTTTAAAAACAATCCAAGGTTCAAACCAAGATTTTTGACTAAATTATTTCCACTTTGTCATGATCAAGATACATTCTACCCAATGGTCTCCCATCCAGAAATATCACAAGTTAGCGATTCTCTTCCCACAGGCTTCAGAACTACCAAACTAAACCTACTGCTGGGAACACCTTGGAACACCTTGGCCCTGGGGCTTTGCCTTCTTTGCTCAATCAGCTTGAACCTAAGGGGGAATGCTATAAATGCTTATAAATTTGGGGCTCTGGTTCACACTGGTCTTGCAGTTGGAGAGCCAGGTCCACAATGGCCTAAAGCTACGTTGTGAGGAGATGGGGCTATCATTACAACAACACACATACTAAAACAAAAAAACTTTATTTACAGTTGAAAAACATGGAAAATCCTGGGTTCTGAATTGTGATACTTCCAAGGTTTCTTGATAAAACAGGGCAACAGCAGGCCAGGAAGCAAACACAGAGGCCAATCCAATCCAGATTTTCCTACTCATGAGCATCACCCAGAGCAAGGGCAGGCCTACAATGGCAGATACATGGAGGTCTGTAAGGGATGGAAGAGATTAGCAGCTCAGAGCATTGGAATGGGACTTTCCATGAGACAACATTCCCACCTATTCTCTACATTCCTGATCCTCTTCGCAAAAGAGTAAAACCAGTCTGATTCTTGCCATAGGCCAGACCTTTGGTTCTCCAGAGCAAAGTTGAAAGTAAAAAAAAAAAAAAAAAAAAAAAAAAAAAAAAAAAAAAAGTATATTACACAAGAACCAAGAAGAAACTAACATATACTGCCAAGTATATTATCTCATTATTTACCCTTTACAACTCTGTGCAATATACATTATAAATTAAGCAAAGGAGAAAACTAGGGTCCCAAGCAGTTCAATGGCTTGACAGTGCTGGGGCTTCCTGATGTACTGGCACCAAAGCACATGTCTTTTGCCAGACCTGGAGCACTCTGTGGAGCTGTAGAACAAAGAGCAATCCTCCTTACCTGTGGGTTTTGGTCCCAGGGTTATACAGAAAGGAAATTGCACACCCTCTGTTTATGGCCTTTTAGTTGTACTAAAAGAACAGGGTGAGTTCACTCTGACACTACTCTCCCCTCCCCCAGAATGTGCCCCCCCCCTACCTTCCAGAAGACAGGGAGTCCTGGTGTCATATTGCAGGCTCAAAGAGAAGTTTAACTATGGGCCCTAATGCAGAATGTACAAAAATGTATAAATGCACTTACAAGTTGCATTGTGCTCTAGGACCCAAGCTCTATCATAGACCAGTCAGCATGGTCTCTGCCTCAAGAGAAAACCAAACACATTTGTGTTAATGCTGTAATAGAGAGATGAACCAAGTACTAGGAGCTCACAGGAGGGGATCACTGACTGCCTAGACCAGGGAAATGGAGATGGAGGGACCAGGGAATGATTCAAACTGATGTTAGTCACATGCACCTGGGAGGGGCCGGGAGGAACTAGGATTAGTTAAACCACATATATACAGTGTGTATTTATTATAAGACTAGTGACCCGGTGCACGAAATTCATGCACATTAAAAGGGAATTATATGAAATATTTTAATATTTCTATTTGTCCTTTCTCCATAATAGAAGTGTCAGAGATGAAAGAAAATTAGTAAAATGTATATGAAAATCTTCCTCCTGTCAGAGTCTGGGGCGCGCCATGGGAACCAGAGTCAAGTCCCCGCCCACCCACGTGTGCCTCAACCCAGACCCGGCTGGCCCCACCCCCGTCAAGCCCTGCCGGGTGGTGGGTGCAGCCTCAGGTCACCTGGCCCAGCGCTGGGCTGGGGGGTGTGCCTTGAGGTCCCCCGTCAAGCCCCGCCAAGCGGGGGGCGCAGACTCAGGTACCCCAACCCGGGGCAGGGAGTGTGCCTTGAGGTTCCCCATCAAGCACCACATAACATTTCGGTCAACAATGGACCGCATGTATGATGGCAGTCCCTTAAGATTTTAACAGAGCTGAAAAATTCCTAGATTTAGTGATGTTGTAGCCACTACAACTTTGTAGTGCAAAGCATTATGTGTTTATGATACTGCTGGTGTAAATAAACAAATGTACCGCACTGCTAGTCATATGAAAGTACAGCACATTCAATGATAATAGCAATAAATGACTGGTGTATGTATTTACTATACTATACTTTTATTGCTATTTTAGAGTGTACTCTATTTAGTAAAGTTTGCTGTAAAATAGTGTGCTGTGCTTCACCAGCAGCATCTCATTCTTACCACGTCTCCTGATTGCATCATTCTCTTGTGCTTGATTTAATCTCATGTTGTTTTAGAGATTTTGTGTAGCCTATGTGTTGAGTGTTTGTGATGTCTACAGTAGTGCACAGTAATGTCACTACTCACACTCACTCACTGGCTCACCCAGAGCAACTTCCAGTCCTGCAAGCTCCACTCATGGTCAAGTTAGTTTAAATTTAAACTAACTTAAAAATGCCCTATACAGCTGTACCATTTTTAATCTTTTACATCATATTTTTACTATACCTTTTCTATGCTTAGATATGTTTTGTGCACAAATACTTATTGTGTTACAACTGCCTACAGCATTCAGCACAATAACATGCTGTACAGGTTTGCAGTCAAGAGCAATGGGCTATACCATACAGCCTACGTGTATAGTAGGTATTATCATCTAGGATTGTGTAAGTGCACTCTGTGATGTTCACACAACAGAATTGCCTAATGACACATTCTTAGAATGTATCCTAGTTAAGCGCCTGTGGCTGTACTGGATTGCCCTGGAATGGAGCCAGATATTCTCCTCTCCCCTCCCTTTTTAGCTGGCAGGGTTTCTGACTTTCAGGGCAGGGGACAAACAGTGTCACACACCCAGCAGGAACGCAAATATTTGTTGCCAAATCTCTAGTGCTCCCAAGACCCGTATTTTCATGTGGAACTTCTCTCTTTTGCCTGGACTACAGCAGTGGATACCTCACTGCCCTCTACCCCATCCTCCACATTGCTGCCAGAATCAACTTCTAACGAAGAAAATGCAAGCACAATGTTCTCCTGCTCAAAAGCCTTCAGTGGCTCCCATTGATTTGGTTCTTTTTGGAAAGTCAGGCCCCCTTTTGAGAATTTCAGAACAATGAACTCTCACCCAGGAAGAAAAGAAAAATGTACACAATGCCTGAAGCCCATCCCCACCCTCAGAATAACATATGAACTCTCAGCCTACACTGGTTCTCACAACTGGCCCTGGCCTCCGCCAACTTCACCTCTTCACTGTTTGCTTTTCCTATCTTCCTGCTTTGGCCATACTGAATTTGCAGTCTCCCACACACTTTCTGCTGCTTCCTGCTCATGTGCTTTGCTCATGCTGTTCCTCTGCCTGGAATGCCCTCCCCAGTTTCAACCACCTGACAGGTTCTTATTCTTTCTTGTACTCAGTGGAAGCATCATCTCTCCTGCCGTCTTCACAACCATGCCAGGCAGACACAGGCATTCACACTTTCCTCACTTCGTCCTAAAGCCTCCAGTCCAGTGCTTTATTGCACTGTACCTGTCTGTTTCCCAAGACACTGTGAGTTCCTTGAAGGCAGGAACTGAGCTTTTCAAATTTATAGCCTTATATGCAGTATGGGACCATGTGGGGAGCCGATATAGGGTTAAGCCTCGGACTGACCTGTTAGCAAAATCACAAACAAGTCTTCTTCCGAGTCTTAAACAACCCAATCCGAGAGGTGGCCGCTGATTTACACGCGCTGTCATTTAAAAAATAAAAATGGGGGAATTTGCCGGAAGCTGGTCCACCCTTGCTGCTTGACACAGTCGCTGCAGGGAAGAAACATCTGCACAGCTTATGTTTCAAGGGACCTGACGTATATGGCATATGTTTGCTCCCCCTCTTAACGCTATGTGTTTTAAACAGGACCACCTCCCGAGAAAGGTTGTTTCCCCAGGTGAAGATTTTTCCCTGGAGTTAGGGATTGACAGGACTAAGACTGTTGGCAATAAATTTGGGACTTGTTGGGCCCACATCCCCAGGGGTCTGCCCACCAGGGAAAGCACCAAAGCCTATACCTCTGGAGACCCACCAAAACAGGGCAGTCCCAGGGAAGGCAAGCAGCGGGGCTGGGAGGACATAACCTTTACTGGGTAGGATAATCTCCTTCAGTCACTTCCTTGTAGCCTATCAGTAGAGCAGTAGAATAGTGATCTTGGAATAGCCCTTATAATGGAACACAGAGATTAACCTAGACAAGATTAAAATCAACAGAACTAGATAGAGACAGGATTTTTGGCAAAGGTCAGATAAGAAACTAACATTTATATACCTTAGGAAGTGATCACCCAGTATGGGACCTATTTTAATTAATTAGTACTTATTTGTACAATGAAGGACCAGCGAATGTGCCACCAACATGTCTTTCATAACCTTTCTCTGCAGGCATGTATCACATCTACAGGATATCTCAGAATGGGGGACAGTGTTTCCTAAATCTCAATTATTCCAAATAGCACCTTCACAACTATTACCATATCCACTATCCACAGGTATGATTAATTTTCAACCTAATCACTATTTGAACTTCAATGCCTCATTATAAGCTATAATAATTATAAAATTATATGTTGTGCTAATTATATATTTTTTCCTCAGATGCAAATATTAAAAGACATTCATTCCAGCACCACTGAAAGTGGCATTACCCACATTCCTCTGATAAGCATTTGAGATGCTTGTTACAAACATAGAATCCTGGGTCCCACCTTAAACTAACTCAATCAAACTCTCCAGAGGGAGGGACCTGGGAATTAGTAGGTTTTTCAAATGCCCCCAAGTGATTCTTCTCTTTAGGGGAGTTTGGGAAACAATGAAGTAAAGTAAGTTCTCCACTGCTTGCTACAAATACCAGGTTTGGGGATCACAGGGAGGTGAGCAGCAATTCAGACTAGCAAGGTTGCCAGAGCCAACAGCCACTCCCTTTTCCAAGAGACTCTCAGGCTTTCAAAACAGAGGTTCCACCAGCCCCTATGTGATTGTAAGTAGCAAAGAACACAGTTCAGTCTATGACAGGAGAATCATGAGGGCCACGATTCACCTATGTATCTATGTATCAAATTGATCATAGAAAGCTTTCACAGGACCACAAGATAAAACCAAGGTTTCTACATGTAAAGCTGTACAGAAAACTTCACTTTAACTAAAATCAAAGTCAGAATCTAAGTCAAAATACAAAAGAGCTCTAAAAGAAAGTGTTTCAGAAGCAACCAATGAGTGCATAAATAAATGGAACAACAAACTGATGTTTCTGTCTCTCTGTCTGTCTGCCTCTCACTCTCTCTTTTTTTTTTGTCTCAATAAGTAAAAAAAACAAATTAAAAAACTATTCAAATGTAATAGATACATAGATAGATAGATAAATAAATAGCTAAATAAATAAATAAATAAATAAATAAATAAAAGTGTTTCAGCTCAGTTAGTTAGAGCATCTTCCCGATATGCCAAGGTTGTGGGTTTGATCCCCGGTCAGAGCACATATGACAGCCAACCAATGAGTGTATAGGTGAGTGGAGAAACAAATCGACATTTTTCTCTCTTTCTTCCTCTCTCTAAAAAATCAATTAAAAGATCTTTTAAAAGATTAAAAAAAATTAAAAAGTGAGTCCCTCAGTCACATTAGCCACATTTCAAGTGTTCAATTGTCACATGCGGCTGGAAGCTACCATAACAGCACAAATGGAAAACATTTCCCCATCACAGAAAGGAATGTCTCCTGGACAGTCCTGGTCTAGAGGGCCTCTGGAACAGCAAATCGCCCCCATGGAATCCGTTCTGCTTGGGTTGCAGACTGAGAAGAGGGGCTTTCATGGGGGCAAAGGTTCACATGATCTTTGCTAATAGTGGGTGAGGAGGGGAGAGCTGATGATCACCACCCTCAGAAATAAAACTCCCAACAAGGATTTCTACTAACTTTCTGGAAGAGACTCAGAAAATATAGAAAAGAGGCCCCAAACATAAAGAATTTCTAAAATTTATTCTTTTAATCTTCTGTCCTCTGGTAGTGATCAGTGGTCAATCTTTAGAAGGATAAGGACCTCTGAGTTCAACTTTAGTTACAGCAAGAAATGAAGGGGAAAGGGAGGGAATGGCCAGCAGCTATTTAAGGGGAATACAGGTTGAGCCCTAGGGGCCCCCAGTCCCGGCAGAAAGGAAAGCTCAGGTGACAACTGGGCATGAGAGGGGACCATCTGGCTGGATGAGAGAGAAGTCTATGTGCAGCTTCCAGCACACACTTGTGCATTCCTGCCTCAGCATTTGCTCACACCAGTTCCCTGCCTGAAATGCCTGACATTCTCTCTCACTATTAACTCATGTAACAACATTTTACTGAATGCCTGTAAGTACTACATACTGTGAACACAAAGTCATAGATAGAGATATAAACAGTCATTAAAGTGGTCTGGAATTTGACTACATCCCCATTTTGGAAAAAGACAGAATTCAGAAAAAGAAATTCTAGATAATTTTGTAAGTATACAAATAGAACTAATGAAATCTTAGAAAAAATACAGAAGACATTAGGATCTGAGGTAATAAGGACCTTTTTAAATAAGATAAAACACAAAAGCCATAAGGGAAAGATTGATAATTTGACCTCATCAAAATTTAGAACTTCTGTTTAACAAAGGATATAACCAAAGTTAAGATAAGCAACACACTGCCAATTTTTTCTTAAAACATATTCTGGAGAAAATAGTTACAACATATAAAGAACTAAGACTCAGAATGTATAACTTTCAAATCATTAAGAAAGAGGAAAAATAAACTATATGCTACAACCATCTTATAGAATATTATGTCAGTTTTGTTTTTTTTAAATGAAATAGTTTTACTTGAACAGAGGAGGAAGTCTTCAGACATAATGCCAAATGGAAAAACAATGATGAACAATACAGTATGATGCCATTTTGGAAAAACAAAATCTCCCAAAATTAGACAGGCAAAGAAAAGGCCCTGATGGCTACACATCAAACTGATAAAGAAGTTACCTCTGGGAGAGGAGTGGGACTGGGGCTGGGG